GAGAAAGCTTCGCTTAAAATTTAAAAAATTATGTTACACAAATCGGATGATCATTGAACTAGCAAAATTTTTCCTGAACAACTTGCTATATACTTGCTAACCTAAAACACTAATCCCTTAATATAAACAAAATTTAAAAGAATTTTGTGTGTCCTAGGGAAACTCGCATCCTGGATCTGTCAAAGTAAGATAACTCACTGTATTCTGATTTTTTTTAGACAAGTATCTTCCGCCATATATTCGTGAAAAAGCTGCAACCTTGTGTGCTTCAGAATATGATAAAGTTAAATCAGAACAACAAATACGATTACAACGCCAGCTGCAAGGATTACTGAACAGGTATGTTATATTTTGATTTTTAAAACATTTTAGGTCTGTATAACTAATTGTAAATTTGGAATTAAGATTAAGTGAATCTAATATCGAAAATATAATTATGAGCATAACAGAGTTGTACAGTAAGAACATACGGCATGGTATTATATCAAATTAATTATTATGGGAGATCATAATTAGAGTTCTTCAAGTGCCGGACACGGTGCCGTTAAAACATAGTGCCTGGGCTTCCGGGCACTGTTTTAACGGCACCGTGCCCGGAACTCGCAGAACCCTAATCATAATGAAAATCAATCATGGTGAAATAGTTTTCCTATTTGTCAGGATTAGAGTGATCGTCCAAATTAGCAATAGGGCTTTTATTTTTACCATGATTCGAAAAAAATTGTCACCAAAATGGGATTCTACTTGAACAGTTACATTCTGACTGGATGAAATCAATAATAAAATATAATTTTTTTCAGACTTTGAGCGAATACATCTCGATAACCACCTATCTAAATCGATGAGATTTTTTTTTGTTTCAATTCTATGCGATAAGTTATTTAGAAATCTTCGCACAAAACTTAGAAAGCCATCAAAATAAAGCTTTTTCCAAACCTTGAACGAATATGTCTTGACACCTATATAAAATTGAAGTTTTTTATATTTGGATTCTATATGACTACAAAATTATAGTTGTCAAGACATCTTTACTTAACATTTAGAAAAACAACATAGATCATCATGAAATTAAACTTATTTAAAATTTAAATATTTAATTAATATTAAATTTTGTATTTATTAAATATTTAATTTTTTAAATATTTATAAGTATTTTAAATAAATATTTGTAATTGCATTTCCAACATACCTTATATTTAATAAGTATTTATTAAATATTAAACAAATATTTTATAAATATTAGCAAATACTTAGACAAATTTCGTGATGATAACTATTAAAACAAAAGCTACGACGAAGTTTTTGGACTTTGAGCAAAGAATATCTCGATAACCACCTATCTAAAATTGATAATTTTTTTTGTTATTTCGATTCTATATAACTGTTTATTTAAATAACAAACTTTTCATCAGTTTTGGATAGGTAGTCTTCGAGATACTTTGCCTAAAGTTTAGAAAAACTAACAAAACAGACAGCGACAAAGCTTTTTTAAACTTGACCAAAGATATGAAATTTTTATTTCCATTCTATAATTTATAATAAATAAAAGTCTTCATTAATTTTAAATAGGTGGCTGTCGAGAAGTTTTCGCTCAAAGTTTTTAAAAAACTTACTGTAAAAGTCGCATATAAGACCCGGGTATAATATATTTCATCAATTTTAAAACATCTAATTAGATCCTGGGTATAGCACACGGCTGAGATTTTATCGAAACAAGAAAAAAATTAAATAAGAGGCAGTCCAGCTATTTGAAATAAAACCACATTTGATTAATAAAGTTGTTTACCTCTGGGTCTAATTCATGGTGGATTTTCAGTCGAGGGATCTTTTATACGCACTTTTACGGTAGATAACCATCAAAACATAAGCAGTGATTTAATTTGAGCGAAGATATCTTGATAAAAATCGATGAAATTCTATCATTTCGATTTAATAAGAATATAATTAAATTATTACTGTTAGATAAGTATTCGTCGAGATACCTTCGCTCAAAGTTTGGAAAACTATTACACACATGGATTATGGATTCATCCAGAATGTAACCACGACCAGTGTTCGACATCTTAGACTTAAATACTGTTTTCATGGGGACAGTTCAATAGTCATAGGTAGTTTTTCGATCCGAAATCCGACTGTCTGAATTGATCCTTAAATCTAGATAAATTCAGATATTCATATTAGAGATTTTTATTCGGGTTGGTCAAGAAACTTAAATAACGAACCTAAGAGTGCACACAATAGCCTGATTTAATAGAATCCGGATGGCCTGTCAAAAATGGGATCGAAACACTAGCCATAGATGTTCTCAAAATATTTCTTTTATGAGAATACCAATTTCGAACACTGACAGGACTATTTAAGTAGAATTTCATCTTAATATTTTTTTTCTTCATGGCTAGGGTACTAATGATCTTCACGATATGCAACAATTATCATAAACTATAGATGTGGTATCGACACTTACAAAGCTTGTTTTGAATATGATCTCATCAAAGGCAGTGCTTCTAGATCAGTTCGTAATCTTGTATGCCGCTTTTGTTGCCGCACTGCATAAAACTATAGGGATAGATTTTTGTAGGTTTAAATATACGACTGTTAATAATAGTATTTTAAAAGCATGATTTTTACACATTTTATATTCATAATATTGTGTTGTTACTTTCTATAAAAGGTGCAAATTTCATTCAAGTCCTTGTTGAAGAATTTGAGGTTTTTCATGGCCAATTTAATAAGTCAATAGACACAAAAGACATTGATGGCAATGGTGGCAAAGAATGCACCAATTTAATTGTTCTTATTTCCGAACTCTATAACTTTCGTGTTGTTTCATGCACATTGATTTATGATATAATTCGGTTATTTATCATGAATTTGACTGATCTGAATGTAGAATTATTGTTAAAAATTGTTAAAAGTAAGTTGTCATTGAACTTCAATAAATGCAAAATCAAC